TCTCTCTCTCTCTCTCTCTCTCTCTCTCTCTCTCTTTTCCCTTTTCTAACCTGAAAAAAAATCCCATGTGTAAAATTTGTTCCAGCAATATTTCCCTTTTCCATTCTAGACCCTGACTTATGAAAAAAATATAATATTAGTTAATATTAATATAATTAATACCATGTGTGGTATTAATACATAATTTCCCCATTAGGTACTACATCTCCTCTTTAGCATTGATCCAGATGTAAACTAACTATATTTACTTACTAGCCAGAGAGATACTCAAACTCATATTGAAGGTTTTGAACTTACAACAATTTTACCTGATCTATATTTCAGCTGGCTTCATTGAAGAGAAACCAAGCATGGTTTTCCCTTGAGGTTCATTGAGCTTTGAGTCTTTGATTGACACCTTTTATTTCATTTTTAGTGATTAATATTTTTTATGATATGGAGTCTTGCATATAACTCAGGTTGACCTTAAACTTATGATCCTCCTGAGTATCCTGGGTTGATAGCTTTAATGTGTAAAGAACTTTTTTGCAGTTATTATTTTGCATATTGCTTCTGTCCTATATTTTCTCTGTTCTTCTGGGATACCAATTCACATGTATATTAGAACTTTAACTATGCTCCCATGGGACAGAGACAACCATATTTTATATATTCATCAATTGTTCTACATTTATGTATGACTAATAGTTCCATTTCTCTCAAATTTCTTTTATTTCATGCTAGTCATAATAAGTTTCTTTTATTATCAGACTCTATCAAGTATTTCATTCTTATGAACTCTTTTCAAACTTAGTGTGAAGAAAATATATTTATAAAAGAAAAATATGATATTTTCTGTTAGTTTAATATTAAAATATTAGACATTTTATAAAATATAATATAGAAAATAATCTCCTATAAAGAGAATATCCTACTCTACTATATGTGTCTTAATAAATTACTGATATCAATCTCTATAGAAATTTATCTGTCTTTTTTCCTTACCAATTAAAGTAGTTTTTCAACAGTTTTTAAACATTTTACAATACTTCTTAAAAATAAGGAGTAAACATAAAATATTTACTGATTTTAATGTAATTTTACATATGGTTAATAAAAGAATAAATCGGGGTGGGAGGGGAAGGGAAGGGACATGGATTAGAAATAGGGTGGAATGTGATGGACATTATTATCCAAAGTACAAGTATGAAGATACAAATTGGTGTGAATATACATTGTATACAAGCAGAGATATGAAAAATTGTGCTCTATATGTGTAATAAGAATTGTAACTCATTGGGCTGTCACATATAAATTAAAATTTAATTAAAAAAGAATAAATCTTCTTCATGATTTAAAGGACACATACAAATATCTGGATGTGCATTAAAAAATCTTGCTTAATTATATTTCTATTTTAAGTTACTTCCTAAAATTTTGGTTATGCCATTATTTTTCTGGCTATCATATTCACATGTAAATAATTCAGGCTATGAGTTGGTAGGGATATTATAAGAGATACAAGTGTTTGACACCCCAAAACACATAATATGAGTTAATTTTAGAATTTTCAGTGATTAAAGATTGTGAACAACATTCACCTCTGAATTCTTCTTTTGGAAGGGAGAATGAGAAGGCTCCCCATAGCCCATACACTTGGTACAACTTAGTTTTTCGTACATCATTTGAATACCACAATATAAATTAGACTCCATTTTAATGTCAACATTTCAGTTTCCCCTACAGACACTGTAACAAGGCTACTAATTAACTTTGATATTTTGTTTCTAGAGTTAAAGATGAAAATAGTCATTAGTATGTTTTCCCATAAGAATCCCCAAGAAGCTATACCAGTTCTGAGTAAATATGCTCTTTATATAAAAAGTGGAAATACAATGCATATCAATGTGGAGAGAAAATTACTTCATTCAAGTCAAAATAAGAAACTGTAGCTAGTTTTCAAGAAGAACATAAAAAATAAGCATCAATAATAAAGTAGTACAGTTTTGATAAAAACAACATCTTAGATTTCTAGGTTTTAGGTAAGGCTGAATCTGGATGTTTGATTTCCAGAGAAGTCAGAATAATGTGTTTGAAAATGAGGCACATATGCTGATTGGAGAGAGATACACAAATGTTTATAGATGTTTCTAAATATCTCTGGATTTTAATGTGAACACAGTCTCTGTTGAAAGGGAAGCGAAAAAATATGGGTTAGGAATGAATTTTTATAAGACTTTAAAAAACATGCCTAATACATATTTGATCATAGTAAAAAGAGATTTTCACAATGCATCAGCAAAGAAAACCCCTGGGGAATTTGTTGAAAGTAAGTATTTTTTCTATTTTATTCTGAATATGTGACTATAAGATTGAGTCAAACTCAGATTTAGAGATACAAAGAAAATATTTCTATAACTCATGATGAAAGATTCAAAGAACATATTTGAAAGAGTTGTATTTTTCTATTAGAGTAGCACCATGAGCAATAATTCTCAAAAATGTATATTAAAAATATTACTAATACATATTCCATTTTCCCTACTAAAGGATTCAATATTTTAATATTACTGAATGCAAATTATTTATTATATAGCTAAAGCTAATGATGCGTTGAAACTTATTGAAGAATTGGGAAAAAATATTGCAAATTCCATTTTCAACTGTGCATTTATTTACCACTTTGGCAAATCATATTGTATTTAGTCTTAAAATCCTTAAAAGTTTTCTTTTCTTGAAAAAGTTCTAGTGGCCACCAACAAAAACCTAAAATCTAACCATATATATATAATCAGAAAATAATCATTTAGAAAAGATTGATTGCAAAATGTCAGTTTTTATTAGCTACACATTTTGGAATGCAGATATATCCAGAAAATATACATCTTTCTGAAAGAAACTGAGCAGAAGATGATTTTAACAATAGGGGAATTAACCTTATTAACCTAAAAAATGTTTTCCTGTTTAATGGGTGAGATTGTAGGAGTTAGGTCTGCATATATTAGGAAAACTAGATAAAGTGTGCAGATATTTCCAGCAGGAAATTATAAAGCCATCCTTTTGTAAAGTGATATATATCCCAAAAAGAGAATTAGGAAAATGAGTATCCAGAAAGGAGATAAGAGTAAGAGGGTGGTCTGACTGCTACATAAAATGTGAAAACTCTCGAAGGAAAACAAAGCACATGCACATCTACTAAGTTGCTGGGTTCTTCATTATCAGTTCAAACTCTGCACTTGATGTATCCTTAAAATATTGCTTAATTATTTATCACCTCCACCCTCTTGCAGGTCAGATGGCATGTTGACAGAATTGAACCATGAGGAACCACACAGTAGTGACAAACTTCATTATTGTAGGACTGACAGAGGACCCAAATTGGGAAATTGTAATTTTCCTTTTTCTATTTGTAACATATCTTTTGAGTACTACAGGAAATCTTACCATTATCCTTCTGACCTTGCTGGATCCCCACCTCAAAACACCCATGTATTTCTTTCTAAGAAATTTTTCCTTCTTAGAAATCACACTGACAACTGCCTGCATCCCTAGATACCTGGTCAGCATAGTCACTAAGGAAAAGACTATTTCCCGTGATGCTTGTTTGGCACAGGCACTTTTTGCTGTTTTCATAGGTATAACACAGTTTTTCCTGTTGGCAGCTATGTCCTATGACCGCTATGTGGCCATCTGCAAACCCCTTCATTATGCCACCATTATGAGCAGCAGAGTGAGCCACCTGCTGGTTGCTGCCTGTTGGATAGCTGCTGGGGTAGCAATTACCCCTGGAGCTATAGTGAGTCTGACCATAGAATTCTGTGATGGCAATGTAATTGAACATTTTATTTGTGACTACTTTCCTATCCTGAAACTCACCTGCACAGACACACACAACATAGAATTGTCAAATTTTATTTTAGCCATTATCACCCTCTTGAATACACTGGCACTGGTATTATTCTCTTATATCAAAATCATAACAACAGTTCTGAAGATCCCTTCTGCCCAGGAGAGAAAGAAGGCTTTTTCTACCTGTTCCTCCCACCTGATTGTGGTCTCCATCTCTTATGGCAGTTGTATTTTTATGTATATCAAACCTTCTGCCGAGGAAAGGATATCTTTAAACAAGGGGGTATCAGTGCTCACTGTTTCCATTGCACCTGTACTAAATCCTTTCATTTATTCCCTAAGAAATAAGCAAGTGATACAAGCCCTGAGGGATCTAGCAAAAAGATGTACCTTTACAACTTTGAAATAACAGCTTTGGCTTTTGTAAAAGCATATTACTGAAAATTAGTGAAAACTACAGCCTGTACCAGCTATCTTTATAACATATCCCTTTAATTTGTTTGTTTTATATTATGACAGTCATGAAAGTCACTCATAAGGAGCCTTTGATGTCCTTCTGGGTATTTTTCTTTTTAATAACTTGATGAATCCCCATGGTATTCTCTCTTGAATTGCTCAAATCACTTCATTATTTGAATGCAATTGTGTAATTTTTGTTCACCAAAATATCCCACTATGAATCCTTATTAGAAATCTCATACATGGTTTTCTACAACAGATAAGCCCACTTGTGAACTCCGTAGATATTAGCTTATTTTATCAATCTCTAAAAACGACTGCTTTCTTAGCCACACAATGTTAATCTTTTATTAAAATATGTGATGTTGCAGGAAGCTAACCTGCCTTCTACCTTCCCTTCCTCTTCCACTTTCTCTTCCCTTCTGTTTATTTTTCTTCCATTCTTATTTTTTGAACATATAGGAGGACAGATATTTTCATATACTTTCTTTCTCCTCACTTTTTGTATGTTTTCTATCACCTTTTACTAATCATTTTTCTTTGTTTCTCTCCTACCTCAGTTAAATATCCAAAGGTATATTCTTGTAATGGTGAATATTTTATATAGTTCCCACTACTACTTTTTCATATTATATTCTGGTATCCCATATCTTTATGCATTATATCTCCACAACTAAGGAAAACAATAAAAACAGTCATCAACATGGTATATACCCTCCTACCCCCATCCTACGTATGTGTGTATTGTATCTACAAGAATCCAATGAATCACCACCAGTACTCATCAAAGACATGCAATTTTATTCTTCTTTTCATGAGTGGGTCTGTATGTTTTGAAGATATGTGATCAGGTTCTAAAATATCACTGATTCACATTTAAAGAGATAGGGATAAAAAATTGGCTATACATTTTTTTGTTAACAAAAAATATATTCTCCAATTTGAGAACAAAGGAGGAATTTTTGAAATCTTTATCGTTTTTAGATAAACCTACTTTTTAAAACTTATTTCCTTGTAGATTTTATACTGATTACATTGAAAATTTTCTATTGATGCATAATAATTATACATAATAGTGTATTATGGCATAATAGTGTATTGAGGCATATTCATACATGCACATAACATAATTTGATCAATTTAATTCCCCAGTACCTACATTTACATTTACCCTCCCGTCCTCTCTCCACCCAATGTCCCTCTTCTATCCTACTAGTTTTCCTTTTATTTTCATGAGATGTCCATTTTTTTTCTTTTTTTCTCTCTAGCTTCCATATATGAAAGGAATTCATGAGATCCTTGATTTTTGTATTTGGCTTATTTCACATGATAAAACTCTCTCATTCCATCTATTTTCCAGCTTATGACATCATGTCCTTTCATTATTTTTTGTTGTTAAAAATACACACATATACATGCAATATTTTCCATTCATTTGTTGTCAAATACCTAGGCTGAGGGTTTCAATAGAAATCTCTGTAATTTTGAAAGAAGATTTGGAGAAGTAAGTATCTGATTCTCTGGGAAAGAGATTGAAATACATGCTAGGACCAACATTATACCTGGATGGGGGCAGAAGCACTTGTGAAGGACAAATGCTAAAATGGAGGTTCACATTCCTTTGTAAAGGCTGAGAATCAGAACACCACAGAGTGCCCCTTTTCTCGGCTCCCCACCCCATGCATAGTAGCATCCTTTGAGTAGTCATAATAGTAAAATACAGCCAACAGAGCTACAAAAAGACAGATTCATTTTGGGAACAGTGCAAAGAGAAGAGCCAAAGTCAAATGAGAAGGAAGAACCCAATGGAGACAGATATCTGCACCCACCCTCCAAAATAACTCTGATGAAATATTCTGCCCCCAAAATATAAGTATTACTAAGCAATGCCTTACTTGTGATTACTGAAGTTAACCACAGTAATAGAAAGCTTGAAGCAGAGCCCATCTCCTGGCTGGATTATGCAGATGTCCTCAAGAAATATTCAAAGAATTAATGGCTGATAATTTTCCAAAATTGATGGCACACACAAAATTACAGACCTAAAATGTTCAGAGAATACCAAGAATTAGAAAACTGTGGAGCAAAACAGACCTAGGCATATTACATGAAAGCTGCTCAACAACTAAGACAAAAGGAAGAAGCACCAGGCTGCCAGACAGAAGTTGTTTTAAAGGAACAAGGATAAGAATCATGGCAGATGCTCATGTGAAACTCTGAAAGACAAAAGATAATGTCATGACATCTTTAAGTTCTGAAAGATAAAAGGCAAGTTGAGTTAGATATTTTCTATACACAGCAAAAATACTCATTAAAACGAAAAACATAATTTGTCATGCAAATACAAACTAAAGTTTTTATTTACCAAAATATCTAATGTACAAGAAATGTTAAGGAAAGCCTTCCAGCTAGAAGGAACTTGACAGTAGTAAGAATTTGGATATCTATAAAGAAATAGTTGTAATTGAACTAAATGAAGATAAAATTAACTGTTTTGAACTTTAATTATTCTAAAATAAAACTGTCTTTTTAAAGTATAGCTAGTAAAACTGTGTCACATGTTTAGAGCACATTTAAAAGTGAATTACAAGACAGGATTTGGTGATATATTGTTACAAGAATCTCACAGTACACTAGAAATGGTTTATTATTGCTATTGTTGTTGTTATTATTATTATTATTATTATTATTATTATTATTTTGGGTACTGGAGATTGAACTCAGGGGCACACAACCACTGAGCCACATCCCCAGCCCTATTTTGTATTTTACTAAAGACTGTCTCACTGAGTTTCATAGTGCCTTGCCTTTGCTGGGCCTGTCTTTAAACTCAGGATCCTCCTGCATTTTATGTTAAATGCTAATTAGTTAAAATGTATATTGTGCATTGTGAAGAAATTTATAAATAAAAATTATTTCATGATATAAATTGTACAAACAGAGTGTATATAATGGAAAAATAATAAGTGCCCATTAAAAACCAAAAGAAGGCAGAAATACAGAAAAAGAAGAAATGGGCAAATGGAAATACAGATGATCCCTGACTCGTGATGTTTAGACTTATAGTGTTTTACCTTTATGAAGGCATAAAAGTGATACGCATTCTCTAGAACCTAGCAAGAGTAATATGATATTCTCATGACTCTGGCAGTGGCAGGCAGCTATAGCTCCCTGTCAGCCACAAAATCACAGGGACACCATGTATAAAAGAGGTTTTGTTATCTAACTATAAGCTAATGTATTTGTTCTGAGTACATTTGAAGTAGGCAAGGCAGGGCTGTGATGTTCAGTTGGTAATTTGTATTAAATATATATTTGTGTTAAATATAAATTTTTGATATGATATTTTTAACTTTCAAATAACTTATTAAGATATAACTACATTAAAAGCCAGGGATATTCTAATTGTTACATTTGTGTTTTCTTTTTCTTTTTTGCCTTATTTGATTAAATATTTTACCAGCGTGATGATGTTGAATAGGAGGTGAGAGAGAGAAAATAGTGGTCCTGAATTTAGGGGAAAAGTGTCAAGTTTATCAACATTAAACAATGCTAGTTTTATGTTTATTAGGTGAATATTCTTATTAAGTTATGGAAGATTTCCTCCTATTGCTAAGACTTTGAAATGAATCTGTTTTTTTTTTCTTTTTTTTAAGTATGCTCTTTATAAATCACTTGCTATCCAGTAACCATATGATTTCTCTTTTAACCTGGTGATATTTTTTAGCCTGGTGATAGATTTACTTAAAGTGACTTTCAAAATTGAACTAGACTTGAATATTTGGAATAAATTCCATCCATTCTTGGCATTTAATTAAATTTACATATTGTTAGATATGATTTACTAATATTTTGCTGAGAAATTCTGTCATTATGTTCATGAGAGATATTCGTAGCCTTCCTTCCTTGCAATGACTTTACATGGTTTTTGTATCAGATTAATGCTGATATTATAGAATAATAAGACATGTGCCTTCTGCTTTTATTTTCTGAAAAATTGTAGGCAATTCATATGTTTTCATCTTTATGCCGATTGAATTCACTAATAAAACCCTTTGGACCTAGTTCTTTGTTTTGGAAGGCTGTTAATGAATGACTCAATTTCTTTAATACAGATGGACTTTTTCAGATTATTCTCTGTATGGGATGTGACAGCTTGCATTTTTGAAGAATCAAAAGGTTCATTTCATCTACAATTTCAAGTTATGGGCACAAAGTTTTTCATTACCATCTTTATCACTTTTAATATTTACTGAATCAGTAGTGATGACCACTGATTTCTTATTTCATTAATTTTTAATTTCCTTTTACCCTTCTTTTCCTAAACATAAATTTTATTAAGTTTTGATTTTTTATATTACTTATTTAATCCTTCTTCTTTTTGCCTTAAAAGTGCTCTTCTGGCAATATTTTATAAATGTCTATAATTTACCTAAATTTTATAGGGCTACACCAGCTTTCTTTTGACTAGTTTTAGAATAATATAATTTTTCTATCCCTTTACTTTTAACCTAATTGAATCTTTTTACTTAAATTTGGTGTATTTGTAGATTACTTAAATTGCTTTTTTCCTCAAAAATTCTTTCTTTTTTGGTGGAAGAATATTGGAGATTGAACCCAGGGACTATTTACCACTGAGCCACATGCCCAGCCCTTCTTATTTTTTAGTTTGGATTCTACAAAAATTCTTTATTTTGATCATGCTGCTGAATACATAACTGCATAAATTTTTTATTTCCATAAAATTGTGTAAAGCTGAAATTTGTACAATTAGCCTGAGCAAAAATAAAAGATAAAGCCAAAACAAAGAGGTAATTTTGGTAGTGTGGACAAGAAAACTACAGTAATATCAATAAAGTTAATGGGTCTTCGGGAATAGATATATGCAGAAATATATAAACTGGAAAATCCTGTTACTGATGGTGTTTGTATGTTATTCTGGATGTGTGC